AAAATTAAAAAAAAAAAAAAATTAAAATTCTCTCTCTCAAAAAAAAATTAAAATAAAAGATAAATAAGATTGATAACCCTTCACCAAACTAGCCAAAATATATAGAAAAGACTCAATAAACAAAATAAGACATGAAAAGGAGATATCATAAGACACTTTTGAAGACAATGACAAATTTCTAGACACATGCCACCTGTCCAAATTGAACCAGTAAGATACAGAAAACCTAAACAGACTAATATCCAGTAATTAAATTGAAACTGCAATTATAAGCCTTCTAACAAAGACTAGGCTGGGACCTGATGAATTCTCAACTGAGTTCCTACCATACCTTTAAGGAACTAGTCTTTCTCAAATTATTCCACAAAATTTAAAGTGAGGGAACATTTCCAAGTACATTCTATGGAGTCAGAATAACAGGCCAGGACCAGATAAATTCTCAACTGAGTTCTACCGTACCTTTAAGGAAGAACACACATCAGTCTTTCTGAAATTATTGCATGAAATTGAAAGGGAGGGAACACTTCCAAATACATTCTATAGAGTCAGTATAACCCTCATACCAAAACCAGACAAAGACACACCAAGAAAAGAAAACTACAGACCAGCATCCCTAATAAACACAGACGCAAAAATCCTTAATAATATATTGGCAAGGGCTGAGGTTGTAGCTCAATGGTAGAGCTCTTGCCTCGCATATGTCAGGTCCTGGATTTGATCCTTAGCACCACATAAAAATAAATAAATAAATAAAAATAAAGATACTGTGTCCATCTACAACTAAAAAAAAATCTTAAAAAAATATATTGGCAAACTGCATCCAAAAACACATCAAGAAGATAATACACCATGATCAAGTGGTTCTCCTCCTAAGTATGCAAAGGTTGGTTTAATTTAGGCAAATCAATAAATGTAAAATCACCACATAAACAGAATTAAGGACAAAAATCATGATCATCTCAGTAGATGCAGAAAAGACCTTTGATAAAATATAGCAACCATTTGTGTTAAAAATGCTGGAGAAACTATGGATAAAAAGAACTTGTCTCAACATTATAAAAGCTTTATATAACAAGCCAAAGCCATCATCATTCAGAATGCAGAAAAACTGAAATCATTTCCTTCAAAATCAGGAACAAGAATGTCTCTCACCACTTCTATTCAATATAATTTTTTGAAACTCTAGCCAGAGCAATCATACAAAAGGAGGAAATTAAAGAAATACAAATAGAAAAAGAAGTCAAACTATCACTATTTACTGATAATGATTTTATATTTAGAAAATCCAAAAATGAATAAAAAAAAACCCACCAGAAAATTTCTAGAGCTGAAATGAATTCAACAAAGTAGAAGGATACAGTATCAACCAACATTCATAAATGAATAGCTTTCATATACTCCAACAGTGATTCTGCTGAGAAAAAAATGAAAACTATCCCTCAAAATAAACTACATGATAATTAATATAACCAAGGAAGCCAAAGATCACTACAATGAAAATTATAGAACAACAAAGAAAGAAATTAAAGATGACCTTAGAAAATGGAAAGACCTCTCATGTTCCTGGATAGACAGAATTAATATTGTCAAAATGGCCATACTACTAAAAGTAATAAACAGTTTCAATGCAATTCTCATCAAAATACCTATGACATTCTTCACTAAAACTAAAACTAAAAAAAAAAAAAAAAAAAAAAAAAAAAGGCCTAAAATTCATTTGGAAGAATAAAGAGACCCAGAATAACCAAAGCAATCCTGAGCTAGGTCAGTTATATAGAGGCATCACAACACCTGATCAATTATACTACAGAGTTATAGTTAAAAAACAAAACAAAACAAACACAGTATTGGCAACAAAACAGAAATGAAGTCCAAGGACGCAATAGTACAGAAGACACAGAAACAAACACACATACTTACAGACATCTGATACTTGACAAATGTGCCAAAAATAAATGTTGGAGAAAAGATAGCCTTTTTAACAAATGGGCTATGAAAACTGAATATACATATGTACATAAATGAAACTAGATCCCTACCTCTCACCTTAAACAAAATCAAATCAAAGTGGATCAAAAACTTATGAATTAGACCAGAAACTTTGCAACAGCTTAAAGAAAACACAGGGTCAATAGTCCATCCTATCAGTGCAGACTCCAACTTCCTTAATAATATCCCTAAAATTCCTGAACAGAAAGGAAAGAATTAAGAATGTGAAGAGAGAGCCTACAGAATGAGAGAAAATCTTTGCCACCTACTCCTTTGACAGGGGATTAATATCTATAATATATAAAGAACTCAAAAAAGTGACATAAATAAAAAGATATTTCTCAAAAGAAGAAATACAAATGGTCAATATATGAAAAAATGCTCAACATCTCTAGCAATCAGGTAAATGTAATCAAAACTACCCAAAGACTTCATCTCACTCCAGTCATAATGGCAATTATCAAGAATATATAATAATAGTAAATGTTGGCGAGGGTGTGGAGAAAAAGATATACGCATATATTGTTGGTGGGATTGCTAATTAGTATAACTATTCTGGAAAGCAGTATGGAGATGCTACAAAAAAACAGGAATGAAACCATGACATGACCCAGCTATTCCACTCCTTAATATTTATTAAAAAGAACTAAAATCAGTATATATGGTGAGACAGCCACCTCAAATGTTTATAGCACATAATTCACAAAGCCAAATTATGGAACCAGCCTAGATGCTCATCAAAAGATAAATGGATTAAGAAACAGTGGTGTATATATATTTACAATGAAGTTTTACTCAGTCATAAAGAAGAATGAAATTATGGCATTTGCTAACAAATGGATGAAAATGGAAAACATCATGCTAAGTGAAATATTCAAGCCAGAGTCAGAAAGAAGAGTTGAATGTTTTCTTTCAGAGCAAAATAAGGAAAAAAAAAGGTAGAGGATTGGATATCATAAAGATATATGGAACATCAGGAGTAGAAGAAAGGGATTGAGAGGGAGGAAGGAACAATGGGAAAGGGGAGAAAATGTGAAATAAATTTAACAAAATCATGCTATATGCATATATAAGCATACCAGAGGGAATTCCACCTTTATGTGTATTTACACAGCACCAATCAAAAATGAATAACAAGTGAAAGGAAGACCAGTAGAGAAGGATGACCAGTAGAGAAGAATGACCAGTAGAGTAGGATGTGGAGAGTGGTGATGATTTGAATCATGATTTGACTACCTCATGGCTGCAATGCACTAGGAACTTTTTGTGCGAAGGTGCAGGGCAAGATGGCCCAGTTGCAATGGTAATACCAGGAGAGGAGGTTACATACATGCAAAGGCATGTAGCTCTTACCAGTGGAGGCCTTGAGCTCAGTCACCAAATCCCAGATATAGAATTCTGAGCATAGTAAGATGACCCTAATGTCTCACCAGTACTGTGACCTTCAGATTGCCTGCTTTGATGAAACTTTCCCACAAATAACCTTCTGATGAAACATTAAATAATAAATGTGCTGAGCTTGCTCTAGATCACTATTTCTTCATCAGAGAGCAATGTTCCACTTAGCCCCACCTTTTGCTCTCTTTGTGTGTCTATTTGTCTTTTCTCCAATCCCCATCACACCTGGTCCAGCTTCTGAATTAATGGTCCAGATGTGAGAGGCCCAGGGAGTTGGTGCCCAAATAGGGACCGGACACAGAAGAACTTCAATGGTCAGATGAGGGGACACTCCTGAGGCCATGGTACCCCAACAAAGGTGAGGAACACAAGTTTATAGATGGGTGTAAAACATGGGACAACTAGAGATCCCTTTCTTTGGATCCTATGTTGCAATGCTTAAGACTATGTTTTCTTTCTTAGCTTCTGCCAGATGTTTATCTCTCTTAGGCTTGCATCTAAACTGCAGAAACTGGTTTAAGACCAAAGGAAAAAAGCATCATTTTAAATCTCAAGCCACTATGGCTGGTTATCTTATCTCCTTTTCACACATTACTATCTTGCTTTCTTAACAAATTCCTCCCTAACACTATAGCACAGGGAGAAAAATGGGATGATCTCATACATATAATTTTTCTTTTCCTTAAAAATCTTTGAGGATTTCAGCACTGTAATCTGACCAAAGAGTAAACTCTGTTAACTACATTTGTATGATATCCACCAGAGTTTGGCTGCCCACCTGGCCCTAACTTTTTCTGTGTGTCTGTCTGTCTTTTCTTCAGATGGGGGCATCACCCCTCATCTGGTTTTTGAACTAATGGCCCCACTGAAAGCAGAGATGAGAGGACTGCAGCAGGCAGTAGCGGGAGGGAGCAGTGGAGGAAAAAGTATGGGAACCAGAACTGGTTATGGAGTAAATCAAATCAAAGTCATACACACGTATGACCTTCTCAAAATGAACCCAATTGCTATGTATAAGTAATTCTTTAATAAAAGAACAAAATAGAGCTATAATTTAAAAATTATGTAACTTCTATACAGTAACAGAGTTCGGAAAATATTAAAGATCTGATTTCATGCACTCAGACCAAGAAAATACAAACTGAAAAATTTTAGTTAATGCAAATTAAAATTTATGGAAATGCTGACAAGTCCCTTAGAGGGAATTTGTAAAATTGTGTTTATTTATGTTTAGTTCTCCCTCACTGACCCAAGTTAATATAAAATGTAATTTATTTTATACAGGATATTGAAAAAATGTTATGTGTGAAAAACAGTCACAAAATAATCAGTATAATTATTAGTAACAAAAACAACAGAGGTACTTGGGCAAGAGGTTTTTTTTTCATATAAAACTTCAATAAAATTAAATTATACACAAAGCATAAGCTCCAACTCATATAGAAATAAAATTTTATTTTAGCATCTACACGTTAGTTTGAGTATAGGGCAGAAAATCTCACTGGAAGTTATATCTGGAGACAGGATATATAAACTCAAGCTCCAATAAAAATCAACACAGCATAGCATGCATAATTTAGAATGCTAGGTCAAATAATATTCCACATACATACCACTCCATTGTGGTGGACCTATAGAACAGATTATTATGAGTTAATAGACTTCAAATGATTATACATACTCAAAGAGATACACTGGAAGTCACATGTCTATTTATTTTTATAAATCTGATTATATAATTTTACAAATAAAGTGTCAAGGAGACTTAGGTAAACAGGTTTTACAAAGCATATTTTCAAGACTTTTTTTCATACCTTTGAATATTAACTTACAATTATATATTCTACTTAGAAAAGATGGTAATAAATTGTAAATTTGCCTTTTTACTCTTCCTTTAAAAAGTAAAAAACCTGTCTTACATAAAATCAATCTTTGGTTTCTATAAGTTTCCAGATTGAAAGTCAGGTTCTTGCATATAATAATAAAAAAAATTGTATTTCATTTTATTCCCAAAGCATTTTTCTTAATAATTCCAATGACATTTTGTAAATTAAATTAAATTTGTAAATTAAATCAAGAAAATGCCTTGCCTAATTCAGTGTTTCTGAAGCGGACAAAAAAAAAAAAAAAAGAAAAGCAGTAACAACAACAACAACAACAACAACAAAACAACAAAAACAAAACAAAACAAAAAAACCCCAAAAACTCAAACCCAATCTAGTTCATATGATCCACTTTTAGTTACAGGTATTCAAGTGAAAGAGAAGCCATGGGTATGGTCAAGTAAGGTCAGCAGTTACTTTATAAACTTAAAAATCCAAAAGGCTGAGAGATTCTGAGCATTATCAGAATGTATGGCAAGGTGGGTAGTAATAGTGAAGAAAGAATGCTGAGGAACACATGAGGGTTGTCAAGATCTTCCATCATTTGTACACTAGCAGTAACCATGACTGACCAAGAGCATTTTAAAAGAACAGTGGTGTTATGCCCAGGATTTATTTTTAAAAACTGACAGAATTTGGAAATGTAATTAACCTACAAATAAAATAAATAAACATCATGCTCATTTCAGTCAAATTAGCATCACTTATGAGTATTTACATGGATGTTTCCATGATAGACTATAAGATGACTGTCATACTGAGAAATTATTTTATTTGCATTTTGCTGGAATAATTGCTAAGACACAACTAAACTATAAGGTGCTTTAAATATCAGATTTTGTAAACTGCTCTCAGGAACCAAAAGATAATTTTGTACTTTATTCAAGAAAGAGTTTGCATTTTAAAATTAATAGTGTTTACATTATTTGTATTATGGAAATGCTTACATTATTGGTTAGACAGTGATTATACTTAAAAAAGTACTACTTTTGAATTATAAGAAATACAACTTAAAGGAAGGATTCTCATGTATGTATATAGCTACCTATGATTAAACTGACCAATCTCAGAACATTCACAAGAAAAAAACAAATCCAAGTGCTTATATAGAAATAAAAGTTACCTTGTCTTCGTAGTTCATTTTTAACTGCTTCAACACCTCCTGTTTTTTCAATAAAGTCATATATAACTTTTGATGTTTCTCGGTCTTTAAGTTGTGCCTCTGAGATTCCACATAAATCAAAAAGATTCTTCAATTCTGGATCCAAATTATTCAGCTACAACAGATAACATAACTGCTAACTATGAAAATTAATTCAATTTTTAAAAAATAACCATGATAAAATGGAATACTCATCTGTATTATAATACTTGTACCCCAAAGACTCTGTATAGTACCCAACACAAATAAGTGTTCAATAAATGTTTGTAGAGTACAATGAAGCTACATAACCAAAGATTATTGACCCCAATCACAAATATTTTTCTTCAAAATAATTTTTCCAAATACTAACTTTTGTTTCTTGGCAGTACTGGGAATTTAATCCCGGAGTGCTAAACTACCAGAGCTTTTCAATTTTTATTTTGAGATAGAATTTGCTAAATGCCGAGGGTGGCCTCGAACTTGAAATCCTCTTGCCTTAGCCTACTGAGTCACTGTGATTACTAGAGCATGACACTGGGTCTGGCTCAACACCACAGCTTCACTTTCTTTATTAAAGTACTATAAAATAAGGGATAATAAAAAGTGCCACATCTATACTGGGTTCATTTCTCAGCACCTCATACAAATAAATAAAATAAAGGTCCATTGACAACTAAAAAATATTTAAAAAAAAAGTGGCACATCTAGATAATTCCACAATTGAATATTCAGAATTCAATTATGCTAATTTCTAGTAATTTAGTACGTATTCCCCTGAATTATCCCTTGGCAAAAATAATTTTCTTCCCTTGGCTTTCAAAGCATAAGTCTTCGCTTATTCAGTAAATAAAGTCCCAGAAGCATAAAGTTTTGTCTTCCAAGACTTGGTCATGAATTAGATAAAACAATATTATAGTTTCAAGGCTCAGTGGTTCAAATACATAAACACAACAACCACATTCAGAGATAGTAAAATATTAATTAAAAAAAATCTAAAAAGGCTGTAACAGTCCTATTTTGAGTAATAATGAATATGGCTTAAAAAGACACTTACATCAAAGCCTGTATTTGGATCCCAGCCAACATGTCCAATATGCCTAAAGTAGAGAATTAAAAATGAAGCGTAGAAAAAAAAATGCATAAAGGAATTGAAAACATAACAAGAATGAAATCAAATGCATCCTTTGAATTTTTGGCCTGCACTGATAGTTCTCATAGACTCAATAGTATTTTGGGAAGACCTATATACCAGGAGTTATGAAAGCAGGATTCCAGCCATGCAGTGTAACAACTGAATCTTAATATTCTCAAACAATCTCTGTGAGCATCTATTTCTTCAACTGTCATATAAGAATATAAGAATCATGCATATGAGAAGATAGGAGTTTTGTAATGAGATAATAAAGTAATGCATATGAAAATGCTTAAAATATGATATATAAATATCAAAGGCTTCTTTTCCCCTCTAGACAATGCCTGCAAGCAATTTCCAAATAATATTTGTAGATCAGAGTGGGAAATCATCTTCATGTTCAACAATTAGTTGAAATAACAAGTTTATCTAATTTTTCTTTTCTGATGGGTGAGAAACTAAATTAGTTGTAAGAATCACAGAACATATACTGAGGAAGTGTCTTCAAAATCTCCAACAAAATCTACAGCTTTTAAAATACAATGAATGCAAACATCCTGCCCTCCCCCAACCCAGCAAAAGAAAAAAATCAGGAGCATCAATGATGAGTAAATCAAAAGTGAAAATAAGAACAAAAAAACTCTTACTGGAAGTTGCTTGGTGTTCCAATATCTGCCTTGGTTAACCTCTTCTTTTTAGCTTTTCCTTTCTTCTTTTCTTTGGTATGGGAGATGTTGTTGACTTGGGTACTATAAAATCTATTTGTTGTGATTTCTGGATTTTTTATATCAACTGTAGCCATAGGTAGATTGGGACCTACAAATAAAGTCAAAATAACATTAAAGAAATATAATTTAACAAAATAATTCTATATAATCATAATTTATAAATTTAAATCTTTTTCTAAAATAGAATCACTTCATTATTATAAATTAAATTTTAAGCCTGCATATATTGATGTTTTACAAATAAGAAGGTACTGCCTAAATTTCTAAAGCCTATAATTAATTCATAAACACTGTGGCATAGATGCATTATTTCACATCAAACTTCTATTTGTATAACATTAATTCTCAGGAAGAATATAAACTTCTATGGAAATTAAATTTAATTGTTTTAATCACTTATATTTTGCCTATAATAGTCTCATAGTGAACACACTGCTCACTGGTAAGATGGTATACACAAAATAAATAACAAGGATAAAGAAAGTAAAAGAGGTATCTGCTTTGTTTTAAATTTAACAAAGAAGTCTAGTCTTACCACTTTGTTTCAACTTTATTAATCCTTGAGRAGAAAAGTACTTATAAAATCATTACTACCAATTTTTCCAAAACTGCCATATTTAAGTCCATTAATATTTTCCCTACCAGTACACATAGAGAGCATAAGTATCAAAAGCATATAGCTCAAAAACCTAAAATGGAAAAATTCTTAAAAACACATATTTTTTGCAAGGATCAACAGTTAAAATATCCTGGGCACTCCTGGATATTATCAGTAGCATTTTTAGGGGTGACACTAAGTGTGGTAGCACAAAGCTTGCCTTATAATTAAAAAACTATATTAATGGAATAATAGTCTGAATGTAACATATTCAGTTAAAAACATGAATTTAAGTAAAGGTCAATAAATGTTCCTTAAACATCCCATTTCAATATACAATTCTCTAACAAAATCTCTAAGATCATTACATTAGTGACAACTTTCAAAATGTATAAACTACTATCACCATTTGTAGAAAAGGAGTTAACATAACACAACAAGGATGGCCTTTCACTGGCATCTGGGAAGTTGCATTTTGAAAACATTACGCCCATTCCCTAAAAGGGTGGGCTCATCATGTCTAAACTTTATGCTAACAAAGTGATGTAGGTTGAATATCTTCTTTCCCCTTTGGAGTCTAGAATCATGGTATGGCAGATGCCTATAGGACCAAACCCCAGAAAAAGCCCCAGGCACTGAGTCTCTATCTAAATGAGCATTTTCTTAGGTAACATTTCACATATCCCAATTCATTGCTAATAGAATGAAGCACATCTCTTGAGACTTCACTGGGAGAACTCTTGGATACTTGTATGAGTTTCCTATGTACTTCATCCCATGTGTTGTCACCTTTGCTAATTTTTATAACTTTTCAGTGTAATGAATATCTGCAATAAGTATGACATATGTGAGTTCTTCTGGAGAATTACCAACCATGGGGATAATCTTGGGGATCTCCAAAACAATCATATAATGGCAAGTCGAAATTTCAAGAAATTATAGGGTAATGCATATCAAGTGATCACTCAATGGCAATTTGACTATAATTTATTAATTATGTTGAAAACCTTGAATGAACTGAATGCAAAGTTGTCTGTAAGAAAAATGTTTACCTACTTGGGTAAATTACATATAACCTATTTTCTCTTTCTCTCAACTCTACTATTTTTTAAAAATGAAATAGAACTTAAAAAATTATAAATGCCATGTGTCCTTATCAGAGAAGCAAACAATATGAAAAAATGTATATTTTTAATATCACCAAAACTGAGTTATTTTCCATCAAGAGTCAAAACGTATTTATATATAAATAATCTAAAAGTTTTATTTATAATTTCATTTTTAAAAATCCCATGGAATTTGCTGATATTGGCAAAAGTAAAGCAACTAATACCCCAAAAAGTGGAAGCTACTGAATAAAATAGATAAAAATTATTAAAAGTTTCCTTGGTGTCAAGGAATAATCTGAAAATAATGGCAACCAGAAGCAAAGGATAGGTGAACAATATGGAATGATCTGAAAGGCTGACTTAAGTAGTAGACAAGGATTTTCTAAATTGTTCACATATTTCAGCATTTGCTAAAGTTTCACCATACAGGACTCATTAAGAATACCCCAAATTTGAAGGTTAAAGGGTTGAAAAGGTGACACAGAGACTTATCTAGTGATCTTTTCTCATTTTTCCCTTTCTGCCTGCTTTTTTTTGATAACTTATCTATACCAACCAGTATCAGCAATACCACAGTAAGAGGCTACAAATTGTTTATTCTCTTATCTTTATATTCAATAGAATCTTTAAGAGTTCACTTAAGACAGACCTGCAAGTATCAGGTACCATCTTTATTCCTACCACTTTTTCTAAAATAGAAATTCAAATAACAACTATAAGGAAAAACCACTCACCACTAAAAGATAAAAGCAAAAGCTAATCATAATCATTTTTAAGGGAAAAAGATATTTTTGTTTCTTTGTTTATATAAAAGTGTTCTGTAATATTATGGATGACCTAAATGGTAATAGAGTAGGATAAAGTTAAATTTGATGGTTTAAATTACTCAAGCTAGTATTTTCTTTACTATGAAAATAAGTTAATATTCTTGTGAGCCTGATTTATAGCTTAGTAGCAAAAAGTAACTCAGTGGTCTCAGAAGAAGAACCAAGAATGAAGAGGACAGAACCAATAAAAGTGATGCGTAGAATGAATAACAATGTCTTAACTCACACTACAGACAGACTGTGTTTCCCCTCCTCCTGTACCTCAAAAATGAATATATTGTTAAGCATCTGCCAAGCAGTTATAAAGCTTTGGCGTAATCTCTTTTGGCGTAATCTCTTTTAATTTCACTAGTAATGGTTAAAATATTATTTAAGTAAGTCTACTGAGAAAATTCCAGACTATGGAGATATATAAAAGTATAAATGTGAAATGCAGAAAATTAGTTTTTCTGTCTTTCATTTTATTTATGAAAACAAAAGACAGAAGACCAAGTAAGCTGTATGAAGTCACATAATTGGTGACAAAGCAAAGTAGGTGAACATTGTTATTTCCATTACTTTTTAACTATTTCCCTTCTGTGCAAAAGTCACACTACAAGGAAACTGATCATGTTAACTTTACAAATGTTGCCATACATTATCAATTTATCAAATCTCAACTTGCAATCCAAAAATTCAACATTCATTAAATCTTTACATTTTGGAATTTAGGAAAATACTGATACATTTAAGAGCTTAGGTACTTCATTATTTCTGCTGATAATAGCTATTTAGAGTGTGATGATATTAGGAAATAAGTTTAAATTGATTCTAAAGCCTAATTATGTTTCAAAAATGATATAAAAAGAGATAATTTGTATAAGGCACAATCATATTAAAATATAGAGAAGATCTAGTATTAGATATTCAAGCCATTCTAGTAAAATTTAATTATTTCATTTTTGAAGTTAGACTCATCTTAAGATCACCTACCAAGTAGTACATAATGGAAGAGCTGAGTTTTTTCCTCTCAAAAAGAACAATCAAATGATAAATCACCTCCTTCTGATTTAGGACAACTGTCACAGGAAAAGGTTTTTAAATATTCTTGAGAACAGAAGACATTTCWACTTAATTTTAAATCTAAAGAAATAAACAAGTATCCTTTAATTATATAAAAAGCAGAGACTTGTCACCAATGTGAGACAGTTGAAAAACAGGTGGCCCAGAGGCCTCTGATGTCAAGCAGTCATGATGCTGAGAACAAATCACTGTAAAGTGCATAAGCTAAAATGTCAGATTGGCTAATGAAGTTAGGCATCAGTGAGGAAGACATGAAATTTCATTTTAGGAATATATGTAACTTCTACTCAAGTGTCTTTTAAATAATTACTCAAAATGATGTGGTAAACAGATCCTCTTAAATGACATTCTGTAACCAAGTTCCCCATGGACACTGCAAGGCTAAGGTGCCCAGCGCCATCTAGTGGAAGGCACCAAATGCAGTACAGTAGAAGCACTGCTGTAAAACAGCAAGACAATCTACTTGCTGAGCTGCAAGAATAAGAAAAAAGTATTGAAATATATTACCAATTATTTAGATCATCCTTTATTATACATGTGATAAATTAATGCCATATTTTAATATTTTTAAATAAAAAGGTAACAATATTGGCAACACCTGCTGTGTAATTTGACCTTCTACAACACTTTTAAAAAATTTAAAAACCCCTTCATTTATTTAAGAAAAAAGTTGGGTCAGCTCATAGTGGAATATGGAGGGGGAACATGGGAGGAATGGATGAATTCTAGATAGGAAAGAGGGGAGGGAGGGAATAGGAGGAGGCAGGGGATTAGCAAGAATGGTGAAATGTGATGGACATCATTATCCAAAGTACATGTATGAAGACATGAATTGCGCATCAACCTACTTTATATACAACCAGAGATATGAAAAACTGTGGTATATATGTGTAATAAGAATTGTAATGCAAAAAAGTACATGTATAAAGACATGAATTGGTGTGAACATACTTTATATACAAAGATATGAAAAATTGTGCTCTATATGAGTAGTAAGGATTGTAATGCATTCTGCTGTCATGCATTAAAAAAAAAATCAATTAAAAAAAGAAAAGAAAGAAGTTGGAGACCACTACACCAAAGGGTAAAAGCTATGTATCTAAATATTTAAAACCATGAGCAATTTGAGCAAAATACACTACTAATGAGTGACTCTCTTAGTTGGGATAACAAAATTGTGAGATACCATCAGCACATGAAGAACTTTTAAAGTTTATCCATAGAAATTAGATGTCTCTTCACAAATACATTTTGTATATAATGAAAATACTTACATTCTTTAATTATATGACTTGTACAATGTCTACACTTTAAAATCTTAAGTTGCTTTCTCCAAAGTTTTTAGATACCATCACTAAGAAGTCTTCCCCACTATTAATGTATGTTCACCAAATGCAAAATAATTAATAAAACCAGAGGTTAAAATACTGGGCACACATCAAGAAAAAATTCTAATGCTGCATTAGAAGTTCACAAATGACTCAGCTGTTCTGCTTCCTTTGCTTTTGCCATATACCAACTGTATATCTTCAGACATTTCCCCCCTTCTCTAGGTCTCCAATCACTTGAGGCAGAATCTTGCTCCAAAATTTTACTAGTTTTGTTACTTTGAGCAAGTTGCTTATCTGTGCCTGTTTTTTCATCTATAGGAGTTATCTCAGAAGATGCCTGGTGTAAATGTTCATTAAACAGAAACTGCTATTATTATTGTTGCCATTATCTTCATCATGACAACAAGTATTTATTAAGCACTATGTTAAATACTGTGATTATCTTATTTAAGTCCCAGAGCAGCCCTGTAAGTATTAATATTTCTATGAAACCCATGGTAAACACTACTGAAGGTTGTTAGCCAATAGAAAAATTAATAAGGTAAATAAAAAAATTTAATAATGCAATTTTTAGTTTGTTTTTATATCAGGAAAAGAAATTTAAGAACAAAATCAGAAAGCAATTTATTTGCTTAAAAGAGAAACCTCAGGCTGGGGATGTATTTTAGTAATAGAGTATTTATCTAGCATGCGTGCAGCCCTGGTTCTAATTCCCAGCACCACAAAAAATAAAATTAACAAATAAAACAAACCTCAATAATTATCTAATAGTCACTATATAATAAAAACTTTGTGTTATCTAAGTTTTTTCTTGAATAACCATTCTAGGTTCTAATGGGAAGTTGTGAGATGCTTTTTAAAAAGCAGCAGCTACATTCTCTACTATAATAAAGGTTCCTTGGAGCAATGGTTCTTCAACTTCACAGGGGTCAGGAATTCCACTTAAATGTGGTAAAAGACATGGTTCCTCTCTCTTCAGAGAAAAGAACATAGACAAATTAATAAAACCACAGAGGTTAAACTTTAGTACATAATTTTAGGGAGGGTTTAAAATCCAGGATGAGAATCTACCCTAAAGGTCTGGGACCTTATCTTTCACATCTCTGATATTCAATATTCAAAGAAGCAAATAAATGAATTCATCATATCTCAAGTGTTCATTATCAAAGAGGGCTACAATTGTGTATGCAGGTACAATTATTTATAAACACTTCTTCATAGTAAGTATTCATTTTAAAAGGGGCTTCATGTACCATATAACAAATGTGAGATCTTTTTAAATAGAGAAAAAAATGATAAATCTTAAAGTAGGATATAAACAAATATAGTAAATGAAATTCAATGCCTTTACGGTAAGTATGGACAATAATGTACAGTTTCTAAACTTGGCCAATTTGTGTGTATAGAATTAAGTATGAACCACTTTCATTCTATGGTTTCTTACTTCATGTTAGGAACAACAACAAMAAAAAACAAATAATAATACGTTTTCTCTCACCTACCATTCATTAATTTCCAATAAGAACATAATTAATAGCATTTGATCACAGATACTAAATATCAGAAATTAAATGTATGGTACCATACAAGAATTAAACTACAATTTAAAATCTTTTTAGTTAATAATTATGAAAGAGCTTACCATTTGGGGGGTCTCGTCTTTTCTCTGTTAGAAAATAAATTACAATATTATTAGACTTGTGTACCACAACATCAATATGAAAAATTAATCCATTTGAACTCTATTCCTAAATAGATGTGCAGATGGCTAAGGAATATTTTTCTGAAGAATATTTAAGCAAACATCTAAATAAAGTAAGAAAAGGAATAAGAGAGCCAAAATCGTGAGGTGGGAACAGCATGAGGGAACACCATGAAGACTGGAGAAAGCAAAGAGAATAGTGCAATGAGAAAAGTCAGGAGAGCCAGGGGCTGGATGGTGCAGGATCCCATTGTTCATGATTGAGGACTACAAAATTTAATTCTGTACATGACAGGAAGTTTTGCCCAAGAGTAGGGCAAGTGACATCATCCAATCTATGTCTAAAAATTTACTCTGGCTACACTACGGAAGAAACAGCAGAGGGATGGATGAAATAGCAGCAGGGGGACTAGCCAGGGACCTAGATAGTCCATATGACAAGATGATGGACTGAATTAAGATGGTAATAGAAGTTGCAAGAAATGGTGCGATCCAGGACATATTTTAAGGTAGAGCCCATGGGACTCACTGTTAGAATTATGAGGGATCATGGAAAGCCTGAATGATAAAAGGGAGCATTTTATAGTGACAGGAAGAGAATCAAGTAGAAGAAACATTTCTGAGTGGGAGTGTGGCTAGGATAGGGTTATGGATCAAGCACTTTGCTTAGGTAAAAGTGTGGCTATTCTGACACTTAATTTGAGTATAAACAGTCTGAGGTCCAGTGAGAGATAAGAACCAAAAATAAAACTTTGGGAGCCCAAATATAGTTATTTTTCAAAACCATTGTACTACATGAAAGAACAAAGGGGAAAAGAATAGCCAGAAAACTTGGAGCACTGAGAAAGACCAGAAAAAAACACTGAAAACCTACTTCTTTGCATTCATATACCTATATACCAGGTTGGTTCAAACACTACTTAGGCTTTAAGAAAACTGAAAAGTGGCTGAAGCATCTTAAATAAATGCAATTTCCACAGATGTACTAAGACTAAATTTTCTGTAATTTTAAGAAAAATGCCCATAAATACTGATGCAATAAAATAATCAGTTTAAAAGTAACCGCAAACCAAAATCAATAAGAATTAATTGGTTGACAAGTTAAAAATTTTAGCAATGGGAATAGAAATGTATGATCTATCTGGTAATCTGATAAAGTTACTTTCTAAAACATTTAAAGTAATTAAAGCCTTCTAAGTCAATGAACATCAATCCCCAGTTTCCAAGAATGATGTTATCTCTGCATACAAAGAAGAAATACTACTTAAATTTGTGAATGACACAAATATGGAAATAAAGAGAGAATCATAGAAGTTCAGAATGTTAAGTTCTAAGAAGCAATTACTTAAATATACAAAACCATCCTGGCTTGAGAAGTATTAATATGAAAAAAGAGGGAAGTTTGGTTGAACAAAACAGAATAGGAGCTAATGTGAGAAATTTGCTAGAAATATCAGAACAGTGTTCAACCAAACTGAGGGATATTTTAGTATCAGAGAGTATTAGTGAGATTGCACTGGAGTATTGTGTTCAAGTATGCACCATATTGAGCAAACGACATCAAATCTATCGTGGAATCAAAGCACAGTACTTAGGATGGTAAGTCTATAACGATCATAGGAATATTTCAAGAATCCGGAATTGATTAAACTAAAGAAGAAAAGGTCTGAAGAGAACATGATAGCTTCCAAGATTAAGTAGCTATTGTGAAGAAAAGAAAATAGACTAATAGATTGCTCAGCAAGTTGGACCCCACATGCCTAAGTTCAAGAGAGGTAAAGATGGAGTTAAAACAGCATGCAGGACCATCCAAAGATGACTCAGCTGCTTCCCTAATGTTATACTCTTTCTACGATGGAAATTCTTTGCCTAAAAGTTGGGGACTATCTACAAGAAAATTCCTGTGTGAAATGAAAGACACCTTTAACTAATCTTACCAATTTCAAAATCAATTATTTTTAACACTTTTTTCCCCTCCTTTGTTTATATCAAAAATGTCATGTTTTGAGTGTAAGTAGCCCTACAGAGACCCTGGTCTAATATCAGAGCATGCCCCTGAAATAGGCACTTAACCATAACCATTTCCAAAATTGAGGTTACAGTATTATAGCATTAAATTCTTTCTTAGTATAGCAAAAAACAGTAAATGCTCTTGCCCCCAAAAGCCACAAAAAGCAGCAGGCCCCTAATAATTCTTCCACTGACTCAATGTAAAAAGAATAAGCAGGGCATGGTGGCACACACCTGTAATCTCAACAGCTCCAGAGGCTGAGGCAAGAGGATTGGGAGTTCAAAGCCAGCCTCAGCAAAAGCAAGGTGCTAAGCAACTCAGTGAGACCCTGTCTCTAAATAAAATTAAAAACAGGGCTAAGGATGAGGCTCAGTAGTAGAGGGCCCCCGAGTTCACCCGCCCCCACCCCTGCAAAAGCAAATGGTAACAGTGAAGCAACAACTTGGTTCATTTTATTTTCATTTTTACCTCACATTTGTCTTGGAACTAAAACTAAAAAACAATGAAGATATATAAAATGAAATACATGCTTTTACACTAATGTTTTCCAGATCCAATATGTTCCTTTCTCTTTGTATATTCCTTCTTACTGGTAAGAGATGAATATGATCATCTTTCAAATGATGTTAACATGTACCTCAGGAAGTATGGATTTTTCAATACAATACAATATGGGTGTAGCTAGTTTTGAGCGAATTTGTTTGTCAGTCTCAACTCCCAAGTTATCCTTCTTAAAACTGATCTACTTAATAGGAAGATGTTGGAGAGGATGGAACTTTTCAACAACAACAAAAAAACACTATTTCTTCTGAGGCAGAGATCACCAAACCTTTTTTTCTTCTTTGAAAGGGCTACACAATAAATACTGTAGGCTTTGACAGCCATATATTCTCTGTCCTAACTATTAAACTGTGTTGTAGCAAAAGAGCAGCCACAGACAATATATACATCAATGAACATAGCTGGGTTTTAATAAAGCTATATACACATAAGCCATTAGTTTGCTGGCTCATTTTATGTAAGTGCAAAAAATAAAAGAAAAAAAGGAGGGCATTACCAGATTTTCTTTGTCGTCGGCCCAACAAGTCTGTAACTGCTTTTCGGAATTTTTTTGCTTCTTCTTCATTGGCAAAATTAAGAGCAACTTGACAAGTCTAAAGTATTTTAGCAAAAAGGGTAAACAACAAAATGTAGAAATTTAGCTTTATATAACAAAAAATGATGACTAACATAAATAATAAATATATTTCTAAAGGAGAAAAAGTTGACTACACTGGTAGACAAGAAAGTTTTTTATGGTTTAAATAAATAAATGAGGCAAAAAGCATGAAAAAGCCAGGAATAGAGGTGTATGTCTGCAATCCCAGTGACTTGGGAAACTGAGGTAGGAGGATCACAAGTTCGAGGGTGGAGGCCAGCCTGGGCAATATAGAGAGGTTCTAAGCAACTAAGCAATATCCTATCTCAAAGTTAAACAAAAAAAAAAAAAAAGAGAGAGAGAGAGAGAGAGAGAGAGAGAGAGAGACAGAGAGAAGGTAAATGAAAAGACATTATGAGAAGTTACCAAACAGATATTCAAATAATAAACTGAATAGTTCATCTTCAGCAAAAAATAAAAAAACTGAATTTGATTTTCAATAGGGCTCTATAAATATTTTGGATTAAAAAAGGCAAGTAATGGAAAAATTAAACATGACAATAAAGGAAAATATGACTTACATCTCCAGCAAAGGTATGAAAATATCCTCTAGGACTATTATATACAAAGTTATTGTATAGTTCTTGTTCCCACAATAATTTCCCATCCTAGAAAAAAGTAAAAATTCAAGTAAGAGCTATCAAAAAAAAATCTCTAGGAATGAAACAAAGCAGATGATTCATGATAAGGAAATTRTTTATAACAACTTTTAGACACACATTACATATAATTATAATATATTACTAATATACTATTTTATAATTTTTTGTTCTTTCATAATTTCTTAATAACAAAAGAGTAAACATTGGATAACATTTCTTTCATGAAACCTACATGTAAAAAAAGTTTAGTTCAATATGCTAATATATAATTTCACTGATCAGGCACTTCCTAATACAGTTACTTGGACAAAAAGATAAACAGAATAATTCTCAGATCAATGTTAGAGAGAAGAAATAGGATATGCAAGGCACACTTCCATTAACAATATTCAGGCTGTGTGCTACCAAATATTACAGAAATGTTCATATTCTTTTCTTCAGCTTTACAGATGTGGGAGGGTCAAATATACCTTCTCTGTACTGTTTATTAACAATATTTGAATTCTTAACTTTTGCAGAGTGACCTATTGATGAAGTACCAAAATAAGTAGTATCAATCATACTGCAGAAAGAGACTGGTGACTAAATCACATTAAGGTTAACCTATAGATGAAAAAAATGTTTAATCTTCTTAACAAGGTGGCTAATTGTGTGTTCAGCCATAGTTATCTCCAATAGTAAATATGTGGTTGGAAAAACAATAATCATTGCCCCATACTAAAGTGTAAGGTTCCACCTACACCATAAATTTAAAATATTTAAAATACACTGTACACACATGAACACTATCATGGAATTCCTTTCTTCTTCATATTACTCCATTTCTAAATAGTGTTTCACATTGATGATGAAAAATTATCAAAGTACCAAGGTTGTTTTTTTTTTTTTTTCAAACTATGGATACATTCCCATCTTTCAGAATCACTGCAGAGATGTTAAAAGGTTTGCTTGTCATCTATCTGATATCAGTGTCCAGTTTAGTGAAAGTTTCATATTTTTGTAAGTAAAATCCCATTAAATCTATTGTCACATATAACTGTTAACCATGGAAATTTACCTACAGAAAGATGTTAAAAGATGTAATGTAACTTCATTTTAGCAAAATGATAATTACTTTTCTGGCAACCATAAGAGATGAATACCTGACAAATCTATGGTGTCAAATCTATGACAATACAGACTTGTAACCTGAGAGTGAAAAACATAAAACCATAAAAATCTGAATATAGAAACATAAGGAAAAATGGGTAGAAAATATTTTTTAGATTGAATAAATAATGCTTAAAGCAGTGCAGAAATAGCAGTACATACAAAACTGAAATAATAATCAATTGTTCCCTGAAAGGACTATGTATACTAGTTTGTGATGCACAAGGTAGAATGAAAGAGTACCACTAAAAAGAGAGACTGCACCAAGAACAAAAGGCATAATTAGAAAAAACCAGTATCATTAATGTATGGTGACAATGAAGAGGTAAAATAGGAAACTACAATATTTTCCCCTTAACCAGAGGGATACATGAGAAGATATTCCATGGATGCCTGAAACCCTGTATAGTACTAAACCTTATGTTTGTTCTTATATATACATACTTATGATAATTTTTTTAAGTTTTTATTTGTTCTATTTAGTTATACATGACAGTAGAATGTATTTTGACATATTATATATATGTGGAGTATAACTTCCGTGGCTGTACATGATGTGGTTACACTGGTTGTGTATTCATATATGAACACAGGAAAGTTATGTCTGATTCATTCTACTGTCTTTCATATTCCCAACCCCACCTCCTTCCCTTCATTCCCCTTTGTTTCATCCAAAGTACTTATAATGATAAAATTTAACTTATAAATTAGGAACGTAAAAGATAAACAATATAACTAATAATAAAATTGAATAAATATAAAATACTATGATAAAGATTACTTAAAACTTATAAATCGTTTATTTCAGTAATTTCCCAGTTAATATTTTGGAAACATAGTTGATTGCAGGTATGTGTAACCATGGAAACAAAAAACTTGGATAGGAGGGAACTACAGTATTCATTTTTGCCTTAGGATCTGTTCCCATTTGATCCCAATGTCCATACTTCATATCTAAAACAAAACTCCACTCTTTGAATATTATTTGAAGTGCAATTTAATATTACACCAAGATAAAAAATAAATCTTCTATATTAAATCATAATTAGGAAGAAACCTAATCACATACAGTTTTAAAGTGAAAGTAAAATAAAACTAACCTTAATGTCAAATATTCTTAAAAAATAAGATCTTTGTGGATTGTCCTTAACAAGACAAGCAACACCACTGCACTTCTTTGACCACATACAGTTCCGATCTGCTGCATATAATTGTACCACTGCTGAAGACATAGTCTGCAAAACATAAATTTTAAAGCCATTAGTTTCAAATAACAATCAGATGACCAGATAGATCCTGTTAATAATGTATCTTATATACAACCTCATGAAAGACACCAAACGGGAGGGGCAAAAAAAAAAAAAAAAAAACCAAAAAACACCAAACCAGGACCACCCAGCTAAGATGCTCCTGAATTGCTGGCTCCCCCCAAAAGGAGATAAGATACACTTATTGTTATTTGAAGCCACTATTTTTCAAAGTAACAAATACCTAATATAAAACCATATAATAATAATTTTGAAAAACTCAACATTTATTATACTTAAAATACATCAGGAAACCTGCTAAGCACTTCTAAATGTAACTTTACTGAATTGTTAGTGCTATTTTAACCTCATTTTATATTTGAGAAACCCAACACTAATGGGTTAAGTAATTTACCCAATATCACACAACTACATAGTACAGCTGAAATTCCAATTCAGACAATGTGTGACTTCAGATCCTGTATTAAACTATATCCCAATAAATTAAACATTTAAGCAATGAAGTACTAGTATTAGTAAAGGTTGACTTCTAATAAGATAGTTAAGTACTTATGATACAGGAGCTAAGTCAAGTAAGATTAGGGGTTACTAATTATTGATGCTAGATACCTAATCATATTATCACTGTAGTAGATGTATCTCCTTTATAAAAGATGTTAAAACTGAAGGAAAAAAATTTTAAGCAACTTGCACAACTGGGCACATATTAAAGGAATGACATTTAGTCCAAAAAAACCCATGATTACTGAGAATAAGAAAAACTATTTGAATGACTATTAACTTGATTTTCCCCGAAACAGTACCTAATTAGAATATTTTGGAGGCATAGGAGAGAAGACAATTCATTACGTGCAACAGACATTTGGACAAAATTACTTTCCAGAACACCTGTTGCAACTATCCTTCTGGATATCATGAAACAATGGAAATTCCCATTTTATTCTAATTTTTTTATATTATAATCTAGAATGTAAATATTCAGTCTTTCTCTGAAAGTTATACACATACATACTGATAAAGCTCTTTTTAAGTCCAATAAAAACAATAATCATGTTTTTTTGAGTAGTAATGTCACTCCTAAACTAAAAATTAAAGAAATAATTTAGAATATAAAATATAAATTTTTAGTTTAAACAAAAAATTTCACGAATATATAGTAACCATGTTTTGTTTAAAAAATAATTTAAATAAAGAGTCTCTTATTCAGTAATTATGATACTTCAGTTCAATAAAATTTGGGCACTGATCAAGAAGAGACTACATTAAGATTTGGAGATTATTTTGAGTTTACTTTGCCTGGGCACTGCTTTCCTTTGGAAAGGATTCTCTTAAACTATAATACACACATATCTTTTAAAATGCCCAAAATCAGAAATGTAAGATTAGAATAGTGTTAGGGATCAAAAGTTCCTACAGACTTTTCCAGGTAACAGTGCTTAATGTTGTATTTTTACCAAATTCATCTTTGAACTTCAAATGAGCAGAACATAAAGCAGCAGAAAATCTTCCACAAAAACTCAAAAATTATGAAGATACCTTTGAAACAGGATAAGTGCTTCACACCAAGACACTGGATTTAAAATAGGAGACTAAAGAATGCAGATGCACCTCTGGCTTGCTCAAGACCCACCAGTATTTTTGAAACATGCAATCACAGGAAGACAACTCCACAGGCTTCCTGCTCTGAACCCTTAGTACAAAACCCTTAAGGTATTAAATACCAGGCCTAAGAGTTCAAAAATCATGGGGCTGGAGTTGTAGCTCAGTGATAGAGTGCTTGCCTAGCACATGTGAGGCACTGGGTTCTATCCTCAGCACCACACAAAAATAAAATGAATAAAATAAAGGCATTATATTATGTTCATCTACTGCCAAAGGAAAAAAAATAAAAAATTTTAAAAATCATATGAGAAGATTTGTAGTCTAGTGAAAATTCACATTACAGTCCTTTTAGTATGGTGTTGTCAAAATACATTCATTTCTAAAAAGAAAAGCAATTGAGCAAGTAGATACCAAGACTACCTACTTAAAAACAAAAAGCAAAAAAAAAACCCCAAACCTCTCTACTTTACTTTTTAAGTAGAAATCAAGAAGCAACAGCTTGAAAGATAAAATAACCTTACTTATAGAATCTGAAATTCCATTTCTTAAAATACCTTTGTCAAAGATCACATATTATTAACATTGTGAAACACTGTTTGGATGTATATGTGCAAAATTAAAAAACTAGAAAAAAATTTATATTTAAATATTTATATAAATTTAAAGCAAATTTCCAAAACATCTGTATAAGAAATAAAGACATGTATTCTATAATTTTTCATGCAAACATAGTTTGGTATTATAAAATTATTCTAATACTAAAGAAAACTCAAATATTTGTAAGCAATTCTCAATAACTGCACATTCAAAACTTTGCTACAATTTTATTGTAAGTTGGTATCTATTTTACCCTTTTTACCTTGACCTGGGCAAAGTCTGAAAATAAGAAGTCAGAGCACCCTATGAAGCCATTTCTAATTAATTCAAAATAATTACTGTAAATGCAAAAATTGCTTGCACATTCAACATTTAATATATAAATGCCAGACAATATAAAAACAATAACTATCCCTTAAACTCTAGATGAACAGTGGCTTAATTAAACTTTTAAAAACATTCCTTCCATTCCTTTAAAGCAATTACATCTAATCAACTCCATCACTTCTTGTCTTTCATAATTGAGATGGTATTAATGAAAAACAATCTGAGAAGTGCTTAGGAAGAGAAATCTATTAGCCCAATAATGTAAGGTTAAAATCTGTTAATTAAAGGGAAAAAAATCACAGTATCAATTTTTATATACATATTTTAATATCTTTATTTTATTTATTTATTTTTATGTGGTGCTGAGGATTGAACCCAGTGCCTCACACATGCTAGGCAAGTGCTTGCTCTACCACTGAGCCACAAGCCAGCCCCCACAGTATCAATTTTTGTAGAACCAAAACCTTATCATTTCGAGTATTTCAGAACTGAGTAACCACAATAACATATTTATCCTTAGACTTTCACTGTCAAGAACAAAAACTAGATAGGGGAATGTATCCTGAGCAGTAAATTCCCTCTCGCTGTCCTTCAACAGAGCACCTTAAGCTGATGTTGCACCAACCAAGAAATATTTCCCTGATTCTCTAGGATGAAATGATAACTGCTTTTCCTTTGTGTTTCTAGAGTATTTTTTAAATGTTACTCTGTTATGCTACAAATCTCATTCTAAAATAGAATAATCTTCTGTTTGACTTCTTACCCATAAAAGAGAATGTAATTCTCACAAGCATTTATAATAGTTCTGCAAGCCTATATTATCACTCCTCCTATACTTTGTCCCTAAGTAAACAAATATTTGTTATTTGAAAATTGCATGCTCTGATTTTGATAATGATACTATGATAATGACCTTGATTTCAGGATATACACCCTAAAATATTGTAAAGGGGTACTATGCCTTCAAATTACTCTCAACTTACTCAGAAAAACAACAGGTAAGCACACATATATGAGAGAAAGAAAAAAAAAACCGAGGTAAAGTATTATAAATATGAAGGCTATACAGAAATTGTTTGTACTGTTTGTAGTTTATTTTTCTGTAAGTACAAAAATATTTCAAAATTAAGAAAGTTTAAAAGCACAAACAATTCATGAAAATGCAGGACTCTCAGCCCCCATACACAGCCATGGCAGTTTTGACAAAGTGGTTCTCAAGAGTCATTACTACCTTTGCCACTGCTAACTGACCCCAAACTAAGAAAATAAACAAGTATCTGCCCCTTCTTCCAATCCCTTCTATATGTATACCAACTTTGTTAAAAGGAGGGCCATCCTAAGTAAGACTCAATCCACAGACATCTAGAACATTTATAACAACCACATTATGTAACAGGTCAAAGGAAGATTTTAGATCAGGAAAATAGGTGTTTCTGTTATTACAAAATAGCAAAGGATTGGAAAATAGCAAGACTCATAGATCCCTATTTTTTTTAAGAGAGAGAATTTTTTTAATATTAATTTTCAGTTTGCGGTGGACACAACATCTTTTATTTTATTCTTATGTGGTGCTGAGGATCGAACCCAGCGCCCTGCACATGCCAGGCAAGAGTGTTACCACTTGAGCCACATCCCCAGCCCCACAGATCCCTATTTTTAATAAAAAACTGCCTATAACAAATACTAAGATAATGTATTACTGAACAAGTATTTATAACAATTGATATTTAATAATATATAATGTTTTTAAAGGAAATATTTTAAGATAAATATTCAATAAATATCCAAAATATGTCAAGTGTGGGGGCAAAAATCTTATGATTAACTAAAAATCAGCCTTTTCTATAAGCACATTGGTCTAGTTAATAGTCAAATACTCCCACTTTTACATGTATGTATATGTCTGTGTGTGTACCGGACCCCAAATGCATGGAAACTAATCTGAGAAAAATCCATTTAAGTTTTCTCACTATAGAAAAGCTAGGCTTTAAATATATTCCTAAATGTTCTGATGATGTGTTTCTATGCAATAACCCACTGTTACTGAGTATGAAATTTTAGTCTACATTGTACTAAGGGAGGAAGACTGGTTGAATTCTTGTAATTAATTAACTATGCAGTGATCTCAAAGAACAATTTTCTAAATAATAAAAGTATATAAAAAAAGTATAACACCACCATAGTTCTATGTTAACCTAAAAAACCAATATAGAAACCAACAATTTTTTAACAATTAAAACAACATATCTGGCAATTAACAAGCATCTCCTAAGTGGTCAGTATGAGTAAAAACAATCCAGGGAAAGAAAACACAAAACTCCACTTTGGAGAAATCTTACCACCTGGTAATTTGTAAAGTGAGAAATAACTAGAAAAGGAAAGAAAAAACAGAAAGAAAATGGTAGAGATTAGTAAAGACAGACAACTCTACAAGAAATAAT